GATTAATCGCATCCAAAATAAAAGTTTGTGTGTACTGTGTATATTTATTATGTATATATAAATACACACCCATGCATGTATACATTTAAGAAAAATGTCACATTTATATATTTATAATATAAATTATATGAATATAAATATAGACATGTAAATATTTGCAAAATATATACTGTATGTGTGTGTATTTATATATACATAAATATACACAGTACACACAGATATATTATGTAAATACAGCACTAGGTAAATGTAATAAATCACTTTTTCATTACCAGTAAGCCAAAATGCAAAGATTAAACTCTTTGTTTTTTTCAAAATGAAACAGCAACTTTCGCTCACCGGTTCCGAATGCATGTCGACCTGTGGAGCTTTCCGGACAGATCCCAGGTCGGCCCGCTGACGCGCCGGGGTCCCGCGTATGCCGCTGCGGGGCGTTCCTTCCACCCTGGAGCTGGGAGTGCCGTACATCAGCGGAGAACTCGCGTCAATCTCGCTCTGCAGGACTGGATAAAACACATCTTGATGTTTTCCTAATTCAAATTAGCTGCATAAACTATTCGATTCAGTGCAAGTAAGATGTTGAATACGAGCCGCACCAGAGCGTGGGGCCATAGGGCTGGAGAACAGCGACACGTCCATGGCTGGAGACGTGGGCATGGGCTGAAGCTCTGTGGACGTGTCATGAGCCCTCGACCGCTGTGATGGAGGGGAGAGAGGATCCTCGCTCGCAGCTGCAAACACACACAAACACCGTTCACATGCAGCAACTGTCAAAAACAAACCTGTCTGTAACTGATTAGAAAAAAAACTATATACATGCCAGCATATGTGTGCACTCAAAGTCAATGTAACTCACGGGTCGGGGGGTCTCTCTTACGGCTCTGGGATGATGGTGAAGACATCTTGACTCAAAACTGAAATGTTAAATCTCAAAATTAGTGAACTGGAACCAAAATTCATTAAAACGATTTCTAAATCATGTTACAAAACAATAAATATTCTTTACTACGTTAATAAATTACATTTATATTAAGTTTATAATTATATACTATTAAATTACTATATATATTAAATATACAATTATTTAATTTTTAATGTGCACTAACATTGAATTCAAATAGTTGCAGGTTCGTTTCATACACAAACTATTTCAGCATATATGAAACTTAATACCTCATTTATCATGTTAATGACTTACGACTTAAGTTGTTATAAACTATCATAATCATAAATGTTATGCAAATATTATAACTATTATATTATGACAGCAGGCCTAATGATTTATCCAGAATGAAAGAAATGAGGTCACGGTCTTCATGATAACACTGCCAAACGGCAATGCACCACAAAACACTTATTAGTAAACATATCTAGCTAAACACAACATGAAAAAAAAAAAAGTTTAGTTAGGCAAAATAAGTTCAATGCTTGTATGAGATGCTCAGGGAATACAATAACCGCCTGTCCAAATACCAAAACTTCTTAATCTTTAAACTAAATCGGTAAATCTACGTAGCACATCTATTTTGTAAGCACATCTGGAAAAGAGTTTTATCATGGTATCAAAGATGTACAGTGACTTTGAGTTGCTACATTTATACTGGAAGAGTGAGAGGCTAGCAGCACGCTGCATCAGCCACAACAATGACATAACATAGTCTTAACTAGAATACAGAATAACTATTATTTTCAACTACAACGCACTATGTTAAGGTCCCGTTGACCAAGATCTGTTTTTAGGTTATCGTGATTACATTTCCTTTCAAACACAATGAGTTTATACAGAGCTATAACACTTACCGTTCGCACTGTTTCCCTTCTGATGTGAACGGTGGCGCGAAACTGTCTGTGACGTACATTTCGCGGGGAAATTTTGACCAACCAACAATACACTCCTCACTATCAGTCGAGAGGGGGAGAAGTTAGACACGTGTGTGCTTAAATCACATATAACTCGTTATTTCTTAGATTACGCAATTAAATTGCAATTACGTATGTTTAAAATTACAATAAACTCTTTTCCAAACGTTCTTAATGGCAGACTGACAATTATAGGATGAGTGACATAAACGAATCCCATCAACTGTTTGGTATCGCCCGAAGTTTTCGCGGGAAAGAACATCAACGCAGAATAAATAGAGGCGATTCCTCTGATATCCACTAGATGTCCATGTGGACCAGATGAGGTGCCACAATATGCCTGCATATAGAAAAACAACTGTGCCATCCTCAGAAAATTATGAATGACATTTTGGCCCCATTAATGAAGATTATTTATTAATACATGCATAAGGCAGGAAAATAAAACACATTTTAATTTGTATTGCTTATATAACGGCAAAATGATTTTAAACTTTTAAAAAAATTTAATGTAACATTAACAACAAATAACTTTCTTGCTTTAATTCGACTCTCGTTTCAATTTATATTCTGCTTGTACTGAATTTGTACGTTCAATGTGCTTCTCAAATACATGGATGTGAATAGATAAATGAATAAATGGATGTATATTTCCGACTATACAATACAGTAGGCTAAACACCCAGTTAATAATAATAATAATAATAATAATGAAAATAATATTAATATTAATAATAATGAACCAACTATATTTGTATTCGTATTATATTAATTTTCTCTCGATGATCCTTCATTCTACGCATCCAAACACGCCTTCATATCCAACAAAATTACTTAGGCTAATAATAACAACTACCACCACCACAAATATGAATGACAAACTACAACAACAATATTAAATACGAACGAAACAAAAATTACTTTTAATTTGTTTATTCAAATGTATTTATTTAGGAAGGTTGAAAATGGCGCATTAATTTCATTTTCTCTCACTGATCCTTCTTTCTACACATACATACTCATAATAATAATATTAATAATAATAATAGTCATGGCCAAAAGTTTTGGCAGTGACATAAATTTTGTGTTGTGTTCTTGTTAGCAATGGTTACCTCCAAAATAACACGTGCAGCCATCATCGCTTTGCATCAAAATGGCCTCACATGCAAGAAAACTGCTACAAAGAATATTGCACCTAAAAGAACCATTTACCGGATCATCGAGAACTTCAAGGAGAGAGGTTTGACTGCAGTGAAGAAGTCTTCAGGTGGTGTCAAGAAGGGCAGCAAAGAAGCCACTTCTCTCCAAGAAAAACCTCAAGGACAGACTGAAGTTCTGCAGGAAGTACAAGGATTGGACGGCAGAAGACTGGTGCAGTTATTTTCTCTGAAGCTCCCTTCCGACTGTTTGGGACATCTGGAAAATCGATTGTTCGGAGAAGAAAAGGTGAACACTACCATGAGTCCTGTGTTGTGCCAACAGTGAAGCATCCTGAGATAATAATAATAATTATTACTGATAATAATCAAAACATTAATAATAAATAAATAATTGTTACTTTATTATAAATGTGAACGAAAATCCATAATTATAATAGCCTAATAACATTAATAATAAACACGAACGAACCCAAAAAAAATTCTCAATTTAAATACATTTTATTTTTTTAATTCTTTTTTTCATTTATGTATATATGCTGGTAGGGGCGCATTAAAATAAATTTTCTCTCACTGCTATGTTCTTCCACACATGCATACGCATTCAAACATGTCCTCATGTCCCTACAGCATGATGTTCTGACGGGCTGTTCTTAAAAGTTGCTGGTAGGCGTTCATACACACCCGAGTCTCCTCAAATAGGAGCACAGGCGGAACATGTGACTGACGCTGGACATTCACTGGCTTCTGGAAGGGGGCGGTGATGCCGTGACGCAAGCCGAGCGCTCGTACTTAAAGCACGCGGACAGCAGAGTTTAGATAGACTTTAACACCTGCTCGAGAGACAGCCAGACTTTTGGAGATACGCGCCAGTTGCGCGAGACAGGGTGTGATTGCGCGTGAAAAGTTACGCCTTTTGAGGATTGCCAAGGGGACGAGGAAGGTATCTGCTGATTGAGTTTGAGTTTCGCAGCGTCCATGTCTGACATATACAACCTGGACTCGCAGTGCGTAACGCCACCATGCAACATGAGCTGGGCCATGGAGCCTGCCAACTTCTATGACAATAAAATCATGCCAGGGGATGTCAAATCCGGGGAAGAGCATGTCATGTCCGAGGACAACAACAACAACAACAGCAGCATGATGGAGCTCAGCAACGCGCCTGCCATCTACGATGATGAGAGCGCCATCGACTTCAGCGCCTACATCGAGTCCATGTCCACGGTTCCTCTGGAGATCTGCAACGACGAGCTCTTTGCAGACTTGTTCAACAACACCGTGAAGCAAGAAAAGCCCGGCTTTTACCTGCCGAGCGCTTTTGCGCAAAAGAGCGCGGAGAGGCTCCAGCACCAGGATGGGGGCTTTGGCAAGGGCGCGTTTTGCGCACCGATCAAGAAGGAGGCGAACTGGAGCGACAGCGAACTGTCCTCTTCCTTACCATCTCAGATCGAGACGTGCGCGCAGACGAACGTGAGCCTCATGCACACGGGTCAACCTACACCTCCCACCACACCAGAGCCAGAACCCGTCACCCAGAGGAGGCTGGGAAAGGAAAAGGGCAAGAAGTCAGTCGACAGGCACAGTCCGGAGTATCGGCAGCGGCGCGAAAGAAACAACATCGCCGTGCGTAAAAGCAGGGACAAGGCGAAGCATCGCAACCTGGAGATGCAGGAGAAGATGCTCGAGATGAGCGCCGACAACGAGCGTCTGCACAAAACCATCGATCGGCTGACGCGAGAACTCAGCAGCCTCAGAAACTTCTTCAAACACATGCCAGACACTTCGTTTGGGACTGCGGCGCGCGCGGCTGTTGACAGTCGGTGACGCACGTCGGGGAAAGAGAGAGAGCGAGAGCTCCCCAAAAACCTTGCCAAAAACATACCTCAGTGAACTTGAATTACTATGTTCTTCTGTAGCAGACTTGCATTAAGTTACACATTGGATGATGGACTTTGGCACCGCATGGTGTCGTCGTGATTATTTTTGTGAATGTTTTTGTATTCTAAATTATTACAGAAAAAACTTCATATATGTTTTTATGGTACCCGTTTTATAATTCCCAAAAACTTCCTATTAATGCCAGAGCATGTTTGAAATTGTACAGTGTGTACAAATGTATAATAAAACGAAGTGAAATTTCCAAAAAGATCCATGTGAACTCGCATGTGTGCACGGGGGCGGGTCTGAGGGGGCGTGGTCTGTTGAAAGGTGTAGCTGTCAATCAGCTCGACGGGATCATGATTCGTGAGTACAGAGATTTCTAAATGTAATACTTAAAAAAGTCACGTGGGTTGTAAGGAACAGCGATTTCGGATTTAAGAATAAAATAAGGTTTGTGGTAAACACTAGAGAGACACATTTCCAAATTTCAGATTAATTTGCCAGACCTCAAGATAAATTCTGAAGCTGCTGGTTTTGCTTTTAAATAGAAGTTGGTAAATAAGGGCTACAACTACTACAAAGGTACTTGACGGATTGATGCAACTTTTTAGAAAGAAAAAAGAAAAAAAACAATGGTATTCACAGGTGAATACAAAAGGAGTAGCATTTGATCCTAGTTTACAGTTAGACCCATTCATAGAATTAATTCAATGGCATAAATAATTAATAATAATCATTAAACATAATAAATATTCATAGAACATATTAGGTTTTATTGTGTACTTGTCAAATTAGGAATAAAACCAATTTTGCATACTAGTTATTAGACACTTAAAAGTGGTTGTGAAGAAATAATATTGGTTTATCTTTCATGAAAATGACTTGATCAGTTATTTGGTGGCATAAAACATTTATTTATAGTGGATGTAGGTGTTCAGCTGTCATAGAGAGCAATAAATCAATTACTGTACAATTAACTTAAACACCACCATAATATAGATGCCATCATTTGATTGACAACACAAAAATCTTTTATCAGCTGATACTGGACATCACATGAGCATCTTTCATACTAATATTATTAGTTCTGGTTTTCTTAACAGTTTCAAAATACTACAGGCTCCAGAATGATCATTGGTAAAGTTATTCTAGCACTCTACACTTTTTTGGCTTATTTACATACATTTGGAAATAAGGCAAGACTAGTGTTGACGAATCATTCTTTTTAAACCATGAAATGAACAGATAAGTGTGCTAGTAGTCAGTGCAGGTCACACTCCTCCAAACCCATCCAAACAGTGTGACTTCTGTTGACGACGTGGACGAAGACGCTGAGAGGACCGATCTCCGACCCAAGAACATTTTCCACACTGTAACCCTGTCAAACAAACAAACAATTAACTGTGAATTAAAAACAGAAATGGTTCTAAATGACTGACACTTTCACTCTGCTAGTTCAGAATCTTACCTCAGTCCAGCTTGAGTTTAAAAGAGATTTAATGGTCTTTTGCTGCAACTGAAACACATGAATGCATTAATATCATAATTTGATTCATACGATGTGGCAGGAATATGAAAAAAGCATTTATATTTTCTGTTAACTCACACACAACCCTGGAAATCATTTAGACTCTGAAGGCCTCAGGAAATCAACCCTCTGACCTCGTCTAATCAAGCATCTTGAGACATTTACGCTTGACAGCATTAGACAAAATAATGTTACAGGCTTCTTTTGCATAGTGAAAACTAAATGCATTATAAAAATGGCTTAGCATTAAGTAAATTCTTGTTAAAGGGGTCATATGATGCTTTTTTAAAGATCATTATTTTGTGTATTTGGTGTAACAGAATATGTTGACATGCTTTAATGTTCAAAAAACACATTCTTTTTCAAATACTGTACATTATTGTAGGTCCTCTATGCCCCGCCTCTCTCAAACGCTTCGTTTTCTACAAAGTCCCTCCTTCCGACAACTTAAGACTATGAGATTTTGTGCTCAAGAAACAAGTCAAAATAACAATAAGAGACAAAACTCACAGAAACTCACAAGGCAAGACCAGTGTTGACGAATGATTCTTATTTAATTTATTTACATTTAAGATCAGAACATATAAATAGGGATGCACCGATACCACTTTTTCCAGTACTCGCCCGATACCGATACTTTTATTTTTGGTACTTGCCGATACCGATGCCGATCGGCGTTTGGTATCGGGGCATTTTAACGAGTACGAGTACGAGTACAGGAGACCAGTATCGGGCCCGATACCGATACCAGTATCGGTATCGGTGCATCCCTACATATAAACTTTCCCTTTCATGCCTCATCATTTACTGAGTGGTCCAAACTTGTCACAAACTTTATTCCGGTTCTGTGGATGAAACTCATTTCTGATAACGTATGAGAGATATCTTGTTAAATCTGTTCCATAATATGTGACCCTCCGCTTTCGCTGAAATTTCCAGGAAATAAAACAGAAAGAAGATAAACACTAGATGAAAAACTTTTGCATTTCTGCACGAGTGATAAAATCATGCTAGCTTCGCTTTCTCGAGTGTTTATAATCATCATTTTAATGTCATGTGAGATGTAGACGCAGATGTCTTAGAGTTTGTTTTCAAGAGAGCAGAATTAAAAGAATCGAAACACGAAACCTGTCATGAAGTGGTCTACGTCATATATCAGCTCAAAATATATATTTACATTAATAAAACGTACTATTATGATTTTATGACATTAAATATGACGTGATCATGCGAAAAATACCATTCACATTATCATTATGTGCAAAAAAAATTACTTCATTATTTAAATAGTAAAGTATGTATATATCATACTAGTGTTTGCTGTACTGTTTTTAATTTATGCTATAAAAAAAAAAAAAAAAAAAACCTGGATTTGATTTTTCGGTAACATGTATAGGGACCAATTCTCATTATTAACTAGTTGCTTATTAGCATGCCTATTATTAACATATTGGCTGTTTATTAGTGCTTATAAAGCACATATTTTGCATGACCATATTCTACATACCTAATCCTAATTTAACAACTACCTTACTAACTATTAATAAGTAGTAATTAGGAGTTTATTGAGGCAAAAGTCATAGTTAATGGTTTCTTAATGAGGAGAATTGGACCTCAAAATAAAGTGTGTGACCGATTTTTCTATAACAGTAATACAAATCTGATACTTAAATTAATGCAAATTATTTAAACTGTAAAGAATTTATATATCATAAAAATGTCTGCTGTACTTTGTCTTATTTATTATATTAGGTCTGCTGTTATTTATGCTTTGAAAACAAAATAGACATGATTTTTCTTTAACAGAAGTCAAAAGCTGATTTCATTTAAATTAATGCAAATTATTGTATAAAGTATGTATATATCATACTAGTATTTGCTGTACTCTTTAATTTATGCTTTTTTTTTTTTAAACCTGCACCTGATTTTTCTGTAACAGTAATGAAAATCTGATATCATTTAAATTAAATTAACGTAAATTATTTAAACTCTAAAGTATTTATATAGCATAAAATGTCTGCTGTATTGAATTTAATTGATTCTATTTAAAAAAAAAAAGAATAAATAAAAACCTGGACCTGGATTTTTCTGTAACAAAAATTAAAATCCGATAGCATTTATATGTCATAAAACTGTCTGCTGTATAGCATTTATTCTACTAAAAAAATTAACCTGATTTTTCTGTAATAGCAGAAAAATTGGACATGATTTTATTTTGAAATAATGAAAATTTAACATCATTTAAATTAATGCAAATTATTATCTGCTTCACTTCATTTTGTTTTTTTATTACATATATATGACTACATCATGTCGTCAGTGGGAATGAATATTTTCCACATACAGCAGCTGAAAGCATCTCACCTTGATTTTGACGGTGCAGTGGCTCAGTGAGGAGCAGCTCAGAAACACCTCCAGCTCCATCTTTGTGGTGGGTTCATCCATCACTGCTCCACATGCTAAACAGAGGAATCCTTTCCTAGAAACCAGCACACCAACACACATGCAACTTTTATTGCTGTTTTTCAAATGTTTGTTGTGTCTTTTTCAGTTTGAGGGCTCAAAGGCACCATGATTCATTACTTCAGCTTTACTCTTACACAGGAATGTGAAAACAATTTAGCCATGCAGTGGGTTGTGATTAAACACAATGCAATGGAGGAGTCTTACGCATTAACTCTGAACACATAAGGGTCAACAACCTTACAGACTGCACAAGATCAACACGTGCATTTAGCATTCCAGGACAGCACCATTATTCTGTATATTCTATTTGGCAGATGCTTTTATTCAAAGGACTTGCATTGGATTTCAAGGCATATATATTTTTCATGCAAACCCATAGCCTTGGTGTTGCATCATCTACTGTTTGAGTTATAGGAATGTCTATTTTTAAAGTTGACAAGCAACAGCGTTTTACTTCCATAAACTGACATATTTCTGAATGAACCATGAAAAAAATGTAGATCCTCTGCAGTGAATGGGTGCCGTCAGAATGAGAGTCCAAACTGCTGATAAAAACATCACAATAATCCATAAGTAATCCACACAACTCCAGTCCATCAGTGAACATCTTGTGAAAAGCTGTGTTTGTAAGAAACAAACGCATAATTTAAATGATCATTTTCAGCTTAAGTACGAGTCCATAATTCATAATAACGCTTCCTCCAGTGTTGTCCTCTCACATCAAAGTACAACATATTTGTTTAGAACTGTTTTGGACGGTTTCTGCTTGTATACAGCGTTTGATCTGTGCATATTTCTCTCCTAATTCAGACAAGACAACTTTTCCACTGGAGGAAGCAATATTATAGACAGACGACTCATATTTTAGCAATGGTTTGAAGTTAAAAATGTCTTAAAGGGGTCATATGATGCAATTTCATTTTTTCCTTTCTCTTTGGAGTGTTACAAGCTCTTGGTGCATAAAGAAGATCTGTAAAGTTGCAAAGACTAAAGTCTCAAATCCAAAGAGATATTCTTTATAAAAGTTCTTTAAACCGCATAAACACATTTCATTACACCAAATACACAAAATAATGTTCTTTTTAGCAGCATCATATGACCCCTTTAATGATGGATTTGTTTCTTATAAACATGCAGCTATTCATTTCATAAGATGTTAATTGATGGACTGGAGTGGTGTGGATTACTGTAATGTTTTTATCAGCTGTTTGGACTCTCATTCTGACGGCACCCATTCACTGCAGAGGATCCATTTGGTGAGCAAGTGATGCAATGCTTAATTTCTCCAAATCTGTTCCCTTGATGAAAAAACTCATCTAGATCTCGGATGGCCTGAGGGTGAGGAAATCTTCAGCAATTTTTTGTTTTTGTTTTTGGGTGAACTCTTCCTCTAAGTCTGTTTTTGTGGCTTCGGGAAGAAAATAAAAAGCCACAAACACGTCCCCTATGATGCACTTCGGGAAAACTCAGTTTTCTAACTTGATTCTTAATAAAGAAAGCATTTGGGACTCAATAAACACTTCATTTTACAAGATGACGCAAGTAGGAATTTGCAGCTGTGATGCTGCTTTAATAATGTCTGTAGGCATTAGTTTTCTAGAACTGACGTTAATCTGTCAGCCCATCCTTAACACAGATGCTGTAGGTTGACGTTCACTTAGGATTGTTTCTGGTCTTTAAAGTTCACCGGTTTGGACTTAGAACCGGGTCTAGGAGAACTTTGGACTTACTGATGTTCTCGAGTCTCTAAACTGCAGCTCTCGCAACAGCTGCAGGTGGGCCAGGAGAACGCTGTGCTTTCATCCACTGCTACAACCACACCTGCACATTAACATAAGCAAATTACCCAGAATTAAAATCATTTCATTGACACACTTCATTCAAATCACTTAAACCATGCACTGTTTTAGTAACTAACACAGTAATATGTGCACTCTTAAAAAATAAAAGTTCCAAAAGGGTTTTTTCACAGTAATGTCATAGAAGATTCATTTTTGGTTCACGTTTCAGTGAAAAATAACCATTTTTTGGAACCTTTGGTGGAATCAATGTTAAAGGTTCTTGATGTAACCATAGATTTATTTTTCAGAATGTAGTCTTTGGGAATTGAGCTCATCACTGCTATTTTTACCCTTCTGATTTGACCTACTACTGAGAAATGAATGATGAAATATTAAACACAAATAAATTATCAACACATAATCTATGACTTTGTTTGTTCAGACTTCTGCTGAGAACTTTAAATTTAGGCTCTGCACGGACATTTTCTGACAAATAACATCGTAAAATCAGTAAGACGCAGCACACAAACACACATCTGTGTTACATAATAGACAGCAGGCAGAGTGATAAGACCCCTGCGTGAACCTCTGCTCTCTGGAGGATCCTCCGGCACGCAGCCAGAAGCTGAAGTTGCTGACCACTGCAGAAGATAATTTGTGCTTGTTACACTTTTGAGGCAGATGATTTGTCTTATCTTCAGGAGTTTCAAAGTCTAACACGGAGTGTCAAATATCGCATTTCTATCCTCTAATTGAACATGGAACAATCTAAACATAATGTCTGCGTGGATGACAAAATCAAAGCATAACATGACATAATAGAATCTGTATTTATCGCCTGATGTCCTGGGTTATCCACAGGGATTTCAGCTTGAATAACTTCATTCAGCAGTTTTGAACATTTCCTTAAAACAGATTTAATCTTAATCTGTAATGCATTATGAAAACATGAGCAGGTCATATTTCACCCCAAAAGCAAAAGAAAAAATTATTTATTTCTGATAAAGAAAATAATGCATCTTTATAGGACCATCAAGATTTTGCTGTTTTTGTAATTCATTTAAATAATTTAATTAATTATTTTAATAAATACTACCATGATGTATACATACATTACAATATAATGCAAAATATTTACTTATTACTAGTAATTATTAAAATAATTACTAATATAATTTATTAATTTTTCAATTACAATAATGAGATTATGAAAATAATGTCCAAATGCAGATACACACACACACACCCACACACACATATATATATATATATATATATATATATAATAAAATAAATCAATTAAAAATAAATAAGCAATTTAAAAGAATAAAGAAACATTTTTACACAATATTCACTCAAAGTTCTCTAAAAAATATTCAAAATATTCATTATCCATTGAGAAGTCTGTTGGTAGATTTTCTGGTAAAGATAAAGTATGCCATTTCTGTACCACAAGATAATTTTTGGAAAATTATTATATGATAAATATAATATTATATTTATTAAATGTATTATATATACATTGGAGAGAAATTCTAACTACTTACTATACATACATTTCTGCCATTATTTTCCTGTTTTCTGCCCCTATATGACACAGGCCTATGTGTTTAATCGATTAATATGTCAGACGGTCTCTTCCTGTCTAACTGGACAGCTCTCGGTCAAAAAACAAGTCGCAAATATAAGACTGTTTTCCATTTTCTGAATGGTACATTTTTAGATATGTGGTATTAGTGATGACATTTGAAAAGCAATGAAATAACTCTCAAAAACTATTCATCCTAAGAAAATGGTCAATATTCATGGATCATTAAAAAAATTAAACAATACAGAGAGATGGCATCACTTTGCATGAGTTAATATAATAAGGGAATGAACAGAACACTTTGTAACAAAATGTGACTTTTATATCTCAAAACCAGGCAAGAAGACAACTTCAACATGTGGGAGAAAGATCTTTAAGGAGGAAAAGCAAATAACAAACCACAAGAAGGTCCCTAACAAAGCATCAAGAACAAAGCCTGAGCCAACAAACAACTGGTTTTGTTTAAATGGCCAAACATGCTGTACCCCCCTGAGATCTGGTTCGTACCAACTCCTCAAAAACAAGGGAGGCTGTGGGGGAATATACCAACCTGTGACAGTGCAGAGAGAGTATGGGAGGGTTTCTGGACCCAGGTGGTCCAGTATGATGGGCCGTGGTATGGAGAAGGATGAGTCCTCTGGTTCCAGTTGGATCACCGTCTGTTCCCAGCAGAATATCTGAGCTGGTTTACGAAAAAGGAGCAGTAGCTTAATGTCACGGAATGTTCTACAGTCCTGGCTCTGAGAAATAACAACACTTAGATTAATGTAGGAAAGCTCTAAATCTCAAAATAGTTCAGACACGAAGAAGCAACCACAGAGACTTTCAGCTTGAATGGCTTCCATTCAGTAGTGTTGAACTTTTCCTTAAAAACAGAATTTTTAATGCATTATAAAGCATTTGTGGCTGCATCTCAAGAAAACATGTCCAGGTCATATTTCACCCCAAAAATCAGAAGAAAAAAAAAAAAGGAAGAAAAGTTAAACCTATTTTTAGGACCATTTTGTGACATTATTTATAATTGTTTTTGTTTTTTTAAATTAATTATTTAAATAGATACTACCATTATGTATATAATGCATTATGTAAAATATAAAATGATTTATTCTAACTTATACTTAATAATATTATTATTTTCACATACCAGTAATGATGGTCATGAAAATAATGTCACAATGTATAATGCACTATAATACTTTATAATCAGTGTATTTATTATTATTTGGATACTAATATAGTTTGAATCAGTTTAAATTTTTATATTTTTCGTTTTTCTGTTTATTTAAGGGAAAGTTTGAACTAAAACTAGTAGATAATTTTTGTGTTTTTTATTATTTTTGTTGTATAGTTTGTATTCATTTTGTATTTCAGTTTTAGCACATCAAGTTAAACTAAATTAAAATGAGAAATGTTGCCTTGGCAACTAGATGAAATGACAAGATTTTAGATTTTAATTTGAAGTAACAATTTTTTTATGTTTTTGATTTTTGTTTCAGATTTTGTTAACCTTAATAACTCTTAATAATGCAATTAACTTTTAATTGCAGATTTACAAAATGTGATATATATGGTTATTTTATGGTTATTTGTGTGTGTGTGTGTATATATATATATAGTACAGTGCAAAAGTCTTAGGCCACTAGTATTTTCACAAGTCAGTTATTTCTATGTTTTGCTGTAGTGTGTCAGTAGGAAATATCAGTTTACATTTCCAAACATTCATTTTGCCATTGATTGTAATAATCCAGTGAGATTTTTGTCTGACAACAGCCAGTGCTCCACACAGAGATCTGATCTGATCATCATCAGTCTGTCTGGAATGACATGAAGAAACAGAACAAACTGAGACCGACTCAATCCAGAAGAACTGGGCCAACGTCTCCAAGACACTTCGAGTCAGGTGGTTCATGGCCTCCACGTCGTGCATTAAAATTAGTTAGCCGTGCATTATCCCTTATATATATACTAGGGATGCACCGATACCACTTTTTCCAGTACTCGCCCTAGTAATTAGCAAGTCCTTCGAAATGCACAGTGTCAGTATAAAAAGCTGTGCATGAGACAATACCTTCAGACAGCTGATGTGTTCATGTATGTCTAACAGGTGAAATACCATTCTCCTTCACGGCGTCTCTGAACATCAGAACAGGCTGTGTCTGCAGGGCGTCCAGGGCCTGTGTGACTGAGCTCTGGATCAGGCAGGATGGGCTCAGACACACGGCTACGGTTCTCCTGTTCCCGTCTGTGTTTGGCTCCCTTTGTAGACTGGGATCTGTCACAAACAGCAGCATCTCCCTCTCGCCTGCATCTGAGCTCTGCAAGACCAAAATGCATGTGTAAATCAGTGAAATTTATAAATTAAATAAATTAGCATGAACTGACTTGAGATTTTAAGATTAGCACTGGAATATGCCTTTCAATATATAATGAAATTTTCTCTTTTCAAATATGTAGACAAAAATATTGTGTAAAATTGAGTAGATCTCAAGTGCAGGAATTCAAGAACGAAAGAAATTATTATAATATTTCAATATGACAAAATAATCTATATATAAGGTAATACTATGTTACGGCCCAATTTTGGGACATAACACATAAAAGCATAAAAAGCTGCTCAGATAAACGGAAAATGTCTAAGGAAAAAAAGATAAAAATGTGTTTATAGTAATAAAAAAATTATTTTTATATATTATATTATATTATCTGCATATTATTATATTATATTATATTATTTTTTAATAAATGAGAGGGACACTGGCCTTTACTAGATTGTTTTATAATTCATGTATAAGCAAATTTGTGGAAAATATTGGTGTTTATCAAACAGAGGTCTGAATACACAAGGCTAAATAAAACTTCAATTGTTTTGCCTCATTTATAAAGACATAAATCTGTCATTATCAGAGGAAAAATGCTTTAGGGGCAGTTTCCCAGACAGGCTGTTCCTTCATACACCTACGCTGATGTGCAATGTCAATAGCAAAGCAAACAGAGCGAATCAAAACAAGACAAAAAAGGTTAATCTACTATCCACACGAGTGTGTATGCATGACCCTTAACATCCTACAAAATAAATCCCAGGTTATCAAAGTCCAAAGTCAGAGGGTCTGCTAGATCAGTCAAACAGATTGTCAATGGATGATGTCACTTACGGGAAGCTTGCGACAAACAGCGCGTAAAGCTTTCCGAAAGCTTTTCCAAAGGTGTACAGTTTGGAAGCAACCCTGAGGGATGAAGACTTGGCAAATGTGCTGGGAAAACAGCTACGGTGGGTTCTTTAGAAGACAAACTATAGGCAAAGCTAAGAACTATTTCCCACACTCCTCAAACCAGGTGTGCCAAGACATCCCACAGAGATATAGCTATGATAAAAAATTATCTGATTCATGCATTTGTTGTTAAAATAGGTTGAGAAAACATTACCAGTAATTGTTTATGAACCACGGTGGCCCGAAAGCTACAACGACACCTCGAAGATTCATCCTAAAAAAAACAAAGAAAGAATCATTCAAAAATCTTTTTACATTAAAATAAAATTCTTTCATGGTTTGCACACCACTGCTGGTACTGTTAAAACCTAAAACTATTAAATATCATTTTCATTAATTGAAAAGCTGAAATAAAACAAAATATAAATATCAGATGAAAAACATACATTTAAAAAAACACTTAAAATGTGGAAATATTACATTGGAAAATAAATGAAATAAATACTAAAATAAATAGGTTGAAGTACTAAAACTGAAATAAAAATAAATATTACATATATAGATAATAAATATTTATCAAATAATAAATAATAATACAAATAAATAATAAATATAACAAATAAAATAGCTACTAAAAATGACAAGCACATAACAAAATTACTCAAATCTAAACTAAAATTAAAATGAAAACTGAAAATATAAAGACTGAAGCTCATTCAAAATGAAAACTACAAATGTATATAAATAATACTAAAATAATATAACACTGTTTCACACCTTTCGAACCAATTAATTTTCAATAAATTAACATTACTGGATAATGATCTTTAAAATTGATTAAAAATATATATTTAAAAGTATATATCAAATGATATAATAACTGCACTCATAAAGAGTCATTTTTTAATTATTTTATTTATTTTTGTTCTCAGCATAATTAGTAAAAAAATATATATACATAAAAATCTTCAAGTATATATACACTACCGTTCAAAAGTTTGGGATCAGTAAGACTTGTAATGTTTTTTTCAAGAAGTCTCTTATGCTCATAAAGGCTGCATTTATTTGATCAAAAATACAGAAAAAAAACAGTAATCTTGCAAAATGTTATTACAATATAATATAATATAAAGTGTTACATGATCCTTCAGAAATTATTCTAATATGCTGATTTATTATTAGAATTATCAATGTTGGCAACAGTTGTGCTGCCAAATATTTTTTTGGGAAACTGTGATACTTTTTTCAGGATTTACATCGTAATAATATTTCACAATATTAAATTTTTTAATGTATTTTTGATCAAATAAATGCTGCCTTGATGAGCATAAGAAACTCCTGTAAAAAACATTAAAAATCATTCTGATCCCAAACTTTTGAACAGTAGTGTGTGTGTATATACAGTATATATATATATACGTATATACGCAATATCACTCTCGTACTCGAGTGATACCGGCTCTATATCAGCATGGCTGTGATTAGGCCAGAGGCACGAGGCCGCAGGCCGCACAGCTGCTGATATAGAGCCGGTATCGCTCGAGTACGAGAGAGAGATTGCGCTTA